TTCTGAGTGAATTAAGCCAGTCCCAAAGGGACAAATATCATATGTTCTCCCTGATCAGAGACAACTAACTGAGCACCAAAGGGGAAACCTGTTGAAGTGAAATGGACACTATGAGAAACAGTGACTTGATCAGCTCTTGTCCTGACTGTTGATGTACAATGTAATACTTTATCCATTTTAGTATTTTCTCTTTGTTTTGTTCTAGTACTATTGGTTGAACTCTGTGATTAACACACAATTATTCTTAGGTGTTTAAATTTTAACTGAAAAATGATCCCTGTGAAATATAAGAGTCGGAATAAGAGAGGGAGGAGATGTACAATTTGGGACATGCTCAATTGGCCTTGCCCCAAATGGTGGAGTTAGATCCCAATTCAATCCCATCAAGGTGGCATATACCAATGCCATCTCACTAGTCCAAGTGATCAATTTCAGTTCACAATTGATCACACTGATAGGTCTAAGAGCCAAAGCATCACACAAACAAGTCTAGTGTCTGCTAATACTAGCTGATAGAATGAAAAAGGGAGAGAACAATCCACCATGGGAAGCGAGATACACAGTAAACTCATAGAATGGCAGATGTCCTAAATAGCACTCTGGCCTCAGAATCAGCCCTTAAGACATTCGGATATGGCTGAAGAGCCCATGAGAGTATTTCAGGCATGGAAAGCCAAGACACCCTGGAAAGGTAAAAAGAAAAAAAAAAGGAAGATCTTAAATGGAAGATCTCTGTGAGTGAGATCCCAGTGGAAAGAATGGGGCCATCAAAGAAGGAGGTACCTTTCTCTGAAGGGAGGAAAGAACTTCCACTTTGACTATGACCCTGTCTGAATAAGATCGAAGTCGGCGAACTCAAAAGGCTTCCATAGCCTTGGCAACTCATGACTAGAGCCTAGGGTGATTACTGACGCCATAAACAAGAGTGTCAAATTGTTAAGTCAACAACAGGAGTCACTGTGTACTTACTTCTCATGTGGGATCTGTCCTTGGTGTGTTGTCCAATGTGAAGTAATGCTATAACTAGTACTGAAACAGTATTTTACACTTTGTGTTCCTGTGTGGGTGCAAACTGATAAATCTTTACTTAATATATACTGAATTGATCTTCTGCATATAAAGATGATTGAAAATGAATCTTGATGTGAATGGAATGGGAGAGGGAGCGGGAGATGGGAGGGGTGTGAGTGGGAGGGAAATTATGGGGGGGCATTGTAATCCATTAACTGTACTTTGAAAATTTATATTTACTAAATAAAAAATTAAAAAAAAAAAAACGAAGGAGACAGAGGAAGAGACATACACACAAGAGGAATTCTTCATTGTCTTTCTGCCAAGATTATCTTGCTAACCAGCTTATTAGGAGGGCATGTACTCTGACCTGTTCCTCCAGGGATGGAGAATTTAGTATAATTTCCTTGTAACCAAAAGCATTTCTTTGTGGGAAATCTAGGCCACTATAAGTAACAGAAAATGAACACAGCGCACACTTAGCCCCTATCCTGGGCCGGCCTTATTTACATCAAATTTTAGTCACTCCATCTAAAAGTCAAATCACGGGGCCAATGCTGTGGCATAGTGGGTAAAGTGGCCACCTGCAACGCCGGCATCCCAAATGGGTGCCAGTTTGAGTCCCGGCTGCTCCTCTTTCAATCCAGCTCTCTGCTATGGCCTGGGAAAGCAGTAGAAGATGACCTAAGTCCTTGGGCCCCTGCACCCACATGGGAGACCTGGAAAAAGCTCCTGGCTCTGGATTGGTGCAGTTGTGGACATTGCAGCAATCTGGGGAGTGAACCAGCAGATGGAAGACTTCTGTCCCTGCCTATCCTTCTCTCTGTGTGTAACTCTTTCAAGTAAAATAAATAAATCTTTAAAAAAATAAATAAAAGTCAAATCACTACAGATATAATTTACCAGTGTTTGATCACCTAGAATGCAACACAGCAAAATATAATACTTTTTAAAATAAAGAGCTTTTCCCAGAAGGAAAGCTATAATTTTTTAAAAAAATATAGAATAACGTATTGATGATGTAGAGATATCAGAATATTCATACACTGCTCATGGGATTGTAAAATGGTGTGGCCACTGTAGAAATTAGTTTGGCAGTTTCTCAAAAAGCTAAATATGAGTTACCATATGACAACAATTTTAGTCCTGGACATACGAACATATTTCAAAAAGTTCATGGAAAAATAGAATTAAGGGGGTCAGTGTTGTAGCATACAAGGTAAAGCTGCCACCTGCAACACCGGCATTCCATATGGGTGCCGGGAGTCCTGGCTGCTCCACTTCAAATCCAGCTCCTTCCAATGTGCCTGGGAAAGCAGCAGAAGATGGCCCAACCAGATATGAGAAGCCACATAGCATATGATTCTGGTTATATTAAATACCAAAATAGTCCAAACCACAGAGACAGATTGCCAGGGTTGGGGAGGGGAGAATGAACAACGACTGCTATCAGAAACAATGAAATATTCTGAAGTTACATAGTAAGAACAGCTGCACAACCTTGCAAATATGCAAGCTGTACATTTTAAACTGATGAATGCTTTGGTGAATTTTATCTCAATAGAAAAGAACTTAAAATATTATCAATAAATTATAAAATGTAACTTTGTAATATGTGTGTTAAGAGGAGCTTTTCTTAGCACAAATCAACATTTTGATGATCTGACCCTTACTGGTTAATACAACTGCCCATAACATCTTGTCTCATTTCCCATTTTTAATAGGATTACAAAATGTTCTGATTTTAAACCTTCCCTCACAAGATCTAGTAGTCCTCTAACAGGGCAACAGGCAAGAACCCCTTCATAAATGTTCATTCTGCCTTGGTTGGATTTAAACTTTTCTAGAACAGAAAACTCAAAAAGGTTTCTAGTATATCTCCAAAACCATCTCCAAAACCAATCACTGAAGCACTAAAAAGGTCTTCCTTATATTTACTTCACCTTAACTCTCACCTACCGGAACTAGCTGGGTGCTGTAGACTCTCTTCCATTAGCCAACCTCTGAAAGCTTCAGAACAGCTAACAGGAGTCACGACATCCCCTAATCAGATCATTTAATTATTTCAACCTCTCCTTAGACTTTCACCACTCACGTCATTCTCTGTACCAGACTCCAGCTAACTGCTACTGAGAGGACCATGTCAGGAACCCCCTGTGCCTCACTTTGCTAAGATCTATAAAATTGGAGTAATGAAAATTTCTACTCCAAGGGTTACTCTAATTAAAATGACTAATCGGTGCAAGGAACTTAGAAAAATGGCATGTAATAGGTGCTACATGTTTGCTGTCGCTACTCTTAAAAGAATCAAAGATCTCTGTGGCTTTTAGCGTAGCTCTATTTCATGTTCTGTTAAAAACATGGGACTATTTATTTACTACATCTCCATAATCTCTACTTCAACAAAGATTTTTCTGAACACAGCAAAGATTCAGCCTGTTTCAAGAATGGCTTAAGAGCCAAGCTGCAAGTACCAGAATACTGGTTTTGTAGTCTTTTGTTTTGTTTAACACAACTTCATGCATCTAATATATACAAATTTGGGAACATGGTGATTCTTTCCCCACCTCCACCCATATTTCCACTTTCTTCTTCCCTCTTCCTTTCCCAGTCTTATTTTTTGCAGAGATCAATTTTCAGTTAATTAACCCTACACTATGTAGAGAATTCAAGCAAATTATACCTCTTTGTGTCTCAATTTTATCTTCAGAAAATAGAGATAATAATTCATTCGATAAAGACCAATTTCATCCCAGGTACCCTACTATGTACCAAGTACTTTCCCAGCAGAAAATAAAGCAAATTCTACAGTTTCAAGCAGCTTACAATCTAGAAAAGATACATAACAAAGAACTAGTAAATATATACTAGGCCAGACGATGACAGGTACTGTGGAGAAAAACAGCAGCATAAGATGAAGTTCTACCGAAGCAAAGGAGGAGGTGTGGGGAGGCAGTACTGTTATGTAGGGTGGTCTGGAAAGGCCCCTCTAGAAGGTATAGCTGAGCAGATCTCTGGATAGCTGGTGGAAGAGGATTCCTGACTAAATGAATAGCAAGTACAAAAAATGTGTACTTGTTTGGTATAAGGAACAACAAGGAAGCCAGGTGGAACAGCAAGCAGTAAGGAGAGCAGTCAGAAATGGGCATAGAGAGGCTGACATTGTGGCACTGGCATCTCAGATGGGCACCAGTTCGAGTCCCAGCTGCTCTGCTTCTGATCTAGCTCTCTGCTAATAGAGGATCTCTCTCTCTCTCTCTACATCTCTCCTCTCTCTGTATAACTCTGCCTTTCAAATAAATAAATATATCTTTTAAAACAAATTTAAAGATTTTTTTTATTTTTATTTTTTATTTTTTCGACAGGCAGAGAGGACAGTGAGAGAGAGAGACAGAGAGAAAGGCCTTCCTTTGCCGTTGGTTCACCCTCCAATGGCTGCCATGGCCGGCGTACCGCGCTGATCCAATGGCAGGAGCCAGGTACTTATCCTGATCTCCCATGGGGTGCAGGGCCCAAGGACTTGGGCCATCCTCCACTGCACTCCGTGGCCATAGCAGAGAGCTGGCCTGGAAGAGGGGCAACCAGGACAGAATCCAGCGCCCCGACCGGGACTAGAACCCAGTGTGCTGGCGCCGCAAGGCAGAGGATTAGCCTAGTGAGCCACGGCGCCGGCCTAAAACAAATTTAAAGATTTTTAAAAGGTAGCATAATGGAGCCTTGTGTGTCAGCTTTGATCTGAGTGCTTTGACACGATGGGCAAGATTGTCTGATCTGAATTTTATGTGACTGCTGTGTTGATCAAATACCAGGCATGTGACTCAGTTCAACACTTCTGACAGCTCCATCACATGATGCAGTACCTGGGATCAAGCCTTGGCTTTCAATTCAGCTTCCTGTGAATGTACCAACAAACCGGGAGATGATGGCCCAAGTACTTGGGTCCCTCACACCCACATGGGAGACACAGACTGAAAGCAGCATGTACACACGTGTTAGAATGAAGGCGGTAAGAGATGGTCCATATCATGGATACATTCTGAAGATAAAGCCAACAGGATTTGCTGAAGATGTGAGTCAGAAAGAAGTCTGGGAATCCACTTGTTTTTGTTTTTGTTGTTTTGGCAATCTGGTTTGTGTTCTGGGAGGCTCTGCCACTCACTGTGTGACATAGGCAAGTTATTTCTGCTTCAGTTTCATCACCTGTAAATGAAGAGAATATCAACACCTGCCTGATAAGATTACTGTGAAGATTACATGTTTACAAAGCTTAGCTAGCTTTTAGTAGATCCTTCTGTATAAGCACTAACCAAGTACTACTATCATTATCAGTGTTATTATAGCTAGTTATTAGAATTATAGGAAGAACAGATTTGGGGGTTGGATGAGTATCAAGAATTCAATTTGGAAAACATTAAGTCTAAGATGTCTACTGGACATCCAAGTAAAGATGTTAAATAGACGTTGGACACACCCAAGATTAGCAGGAAGGTTGGGGTAGAGATACAAATCTGGGAACTGCCAGCACAAGGACAGTAAACTAAAGAAGGTCCCTCTAGAGAGTGAATCTATAAGCTTTAGAGTTGGAATAACAACAAATAGCTAGCATCTTCCTCCTACAGGGGCATCCTGAAAGTCAAAGTAACAAGTGCTTCAGGAAGGAGTGGACACTATGTTTTAAATACTACTGAGAGGGGCTGGTGTCATCTGCAGTGCCATCATCCCAAAAGGACACCAGTACGTGTACCAGCTGCTCCACATCTGATCCAGTTCCCTGCTAATGCGTCTAGGAGAGCAGTGCAGGATGGCTCAGGTCCTTGGGCCCCTACACCCATGTGGGAAATCTGGAAGAAGCTCCTGACTCCTGGCTTTAGCCTGACCCAGCCTGGCCACTGTGGCCATTTGAGGAGTGAACCAGCAGATAGATCAATATATCAATCAATCAATCAATACCTCTCTAATTCTTTCAAATAAATAAATAAATCTCTTTAAAAATAAATAAATAAATAAATACTCCTGAGAAGTCAAGTAAGATAAGGAATAACTGGTCACTGGATTTCACAACACAGAGGATGCTGGCAAACCCTGAAAAGAGCTCTTTTGATATAATGAGATCAAAGTAAAGTTTAGGAAAGAATGGAAGAGAATGAATTAGAAACACAATTACAGCAAATCTTTCAGAGGTGCCCTACTGCATAAAGGAGCAAAGAAGGATGTGGGTATCCAGAAAAGGACATAGGTCAGTAGTTCATTACTGCTGTTGTTTTCAGATGAAAGAAAATTGAGGAATTTTTAATGGCAATGATGATGCACCAATGGGAGAGTGAGAAATGTGCAATATAGAAAAGATCATTGTTGAAGGGCATGTCCTTGACTAGGACATAGCACATAGCACACAGTGTACAAGAAAGTGAACAGCCCTGAGGAGAACTACTTCATTGCGTTACTTATTTACGTATTCCACAGGTATTTTCTGAGTAAGGAGACTTGACCAGACAGAAAACAAAAGATAGTAATCTGACAAAACATCCGTAAAGCACTTACATAATCCCTGCTACATAGGAGGCACAGAACAAACCTTGGCTAAAAATAGATCTCAACTGCTTCACTCAAATCTCTGACAAAAATGTGGTCCAAGATGATGTCCTAAAAGCTGCCACTGCTGTACTATCACAGGAGTTTGAAAGAGGTGCTTTGGAGTTGATATTTATTTTTTTAAACTGGCCACTTTACTTTTTTCAATGTTTGTTTATTTTGATCTACTCGAAAGGCAGAGCAACAGTGAGAGTGAGGGAGACAGATCTTCCAGCCTCTGATTTACTCTTCAAATGCCTACAAGTTGTGGCTGTGCCAGGTCAAAAATTAGGATTCAAGAACTCCAATGGGGTTTCCCACATGGGTGGCAGGGAACCAAGTACTTGGGCCATCCCCTGCTGCCTCCCAGAAATTATTAGCAGGAAGCTGGATGGGAAGTGAAGGAGCTAGGACTTGAACCAGCTCTCCGTTATGAGACACAGGCATCCCAAGTGGTGATAGCTCAACCTACTGCACCACAACTCCTCCAACTAAAATATTTATTTTTGATAATATGAAAAATAGGTCTTTAAAAGTGAGTGCAGTGCCTGGGATTAAATTCCACCCTGCCTTTTTTTTTTTTTAAGATTTATTTATTTGAGGGCTGCGCCGTGGCTCACTAGGCTAATCCTCCGCCTTGCGGTGCCGGCACACCGGGTTCTAGTCCCAGTCGGGGCGCCGGATTCTGTCCCGATTGCCCCTCTTCCAGGCCAGCTCTCTGCTATGGCCCGGGAGTGCAGTGGAGGATGGCTCAAGTCCTTGGGCCCTGCACCTGCATGGGAGACCAGGAAAAGCACCTGGCTCCCAGCTTCGGATCAGGGCTGCGCGCCGGCCACGGCGGCCATTGGAGGGTGAACCAACTGCAAAAGGAAGACCTTTCTCTCTGTCTCTCTCTCTTTCACTGTCCACTCTGCCTGTCGAAAAAAAAAAAGATTTATTTATGATTTATTTATTTGAAATGCACAGTTACAGAGAGGCAGAGAGAGACAAGAGGTCTTCCATCTCTTGGTTCACTCCCCAGATGGCCGTGACAGCCAGGAGCTTCTTCCAGATCTCTCACGTGGGTGCAGGGGCCCAAGCACTTGAGCCATCTTCTACTGCCTTCCCAGGCCATAGCAGAGAGCTGGATTGGAAGTGGGGGAGCTGGGACTTGAACCAGCACCCAAATTGGATGCCAGCACTGTAGGCGATAGTTTTACCTACTATGCCACAGCATCAGCCCCCACCCCTGCTTCTGATCCAGCCTCCTGCTAATGCACACCCTGTGAGGGTGCAGATGATGGCTCAAGTACTTGGGTCCCTGGCCCCCAATATGGGAGACCAAGACTGAGTTCCAGGCTCCTGACTTTGATCAGGCTCAGCACTGGCTGTTACAGACATTTTAGGAGTGAACCAGAAGATATAAGATCTCTATCTCTCTGTTGCTCTACATTTGAAATAAATAAAAATAAATAAACTTTAAAACAGAAGGTAAGGGTCAGTCCTTGTGGGTGGTAAATTAAGCCTCTGCTTGGGAAGCCCATTACCCCCATATTGGAGTTCCTGGGATGTAGTCTTGCCTCTACTTCTGACCCAACTTCCTGCTAATGTGACCAGTAGGCAGCACATGATGGATCATGGACTTGAGTCCTTGCCATGTAAGTCCTGGCTCCTTTTAGCCTGACCCAGCCATGGCTGTTGTAGGCATTTGGGGAGTGAACCAGCAGATGAAACATTTTTCTCTCTATTGCTCTTTCAAATAAATAAGTATTTTTTAAAAACTCATTGAGTGCAACCTCTTAATCTTCAGGAAACAAAAGTTAAACATAGAATGCCAAGAGTACTTAGCCCAAATTACTAAATTAATTCAATGAAAAACCAAGAGTCACAACTAAACTCCTGTTTTCCCACATCCTAGCCTGGCTTTTACTCTATTTTAATGTGTATACATGTGTGTGTCTGTCTGTCCATCTTTGTCCCTCTCTGTGGACAGAAAGGCTAAAGTGTTAGGATTGCAATTTCTATTTTCTGTCTATTTCTACCTGGCTCTTCAATGCCCACTCTCCCCCTCCCCCCAATTTACCACAGGATATTTTCTCATTCCTTACTTTTAGTATGTGAGCTGCACTGAGAACACTCTGAAAATGCTATTTAAAGAAATGCCACAGACAAATTAATTTTTTTCTTTTTCCATATTTAAAATTTAATCAGAGTCTGGCATTCAGTTTTAGCAAATAATCAGTCTTACTTCAAATCATCAATAAAGCTGCAGTTTATCTAATATTTCGGTCTAGATAGCTGGCAAACACAATCCTTCTAATCTTTAAAATAAACCTTTTTGATTTCAAGCTTCAAACTTAAGATACTAACAATTACCTTTCAAGATTTTCCTTTTTAAGTTCCCAAATGCCCTTCAACCTACAGCTAAATTCTTCCACTCTATTTGATCAATGCTGTTCTACCCTCAATTTCCTATCCTAGCCACTCAGCCCAGCAATGGTGCCCATCTCTAGACAACACATGTGTGAACTCTGTAGTACGTTTAACTTCTCAAATAACCAAAATCAGCAGGTTTCAGACCTCAAAGTAGGGAGCAGTAAGGAATAAGCATTTCATTTGAAAAATCAATTTGTTCCCACTGACTCGTAAATGCCACTCAAACACTAGTGACCACTCTAAATGTCTGGATTTTACCTCAGTCTACACATAGTTCTCCAGAATGTCCAATACCATTTCGGGCATAACTAGCACCAACTAAATCCTATGTGTTAATAAAACCTTCAAGCCCTAACTTGCTTCTTTGAGGACACTGCCTAGGCAGTCCACTGAATATCACACTCCAAGTGCTGATTTTCCCAATTCTGAAGTGATGATCCAGTTTCCCCCACCCTATTTATGTGCATAGATACTCTTCTTATTAGATAATTAGCAGCTTGAAGGCAGAGACCTGTTTTACAGACTGCACACTCCAGGGACCCACGCAGCACCAGACGCCTGCCAGGTCTGTAACGACTCCAACTATTAATAGCACAAAGGAAGTGCTTGACATACATTGTTTCATTGAGTGCTGCCTGCATCCCCATGAAGTTATTATCAACCATCCCCATTTCACAGGTGAGCAAGGCGAGGCTCAGGAAGGTGCCTGCCAGGTCACACACGGAGTCAAGGGTTTAGTAGAAACCACTATTCCAAGCCTGAGCTGTCCGGACGCGGACCCTCTCACCCACTACCCACACGACCTTCTCACCGTACCCTCGGATCACCACAAGCTTCCCTTTCTCTTTTAAATACAGAGGCCTCCAGTGAGGATGGACACACCTTGCCCGTCAGCTAAGTTTAGAAGAAACCCGCGGAACGCAAAGTTTCAGCGTGCCTAGGGACATGCCGGGCGGAGAGAACGGGCTCGTTCGGACCCGGGCAGGACCTCCCCTCAAAGCCGGAAGCCCAGCCTGCTGGTCCGCGGGCCGGGGGACTCCGGGACGCCCGCGGCAGTCTGCACGCGCGGCCCTCGCGGCTCCAAGCCTCACGAGACCGACGCGCCGCGGGCGGCAGGAGCGCGGGGAAGCCACGACGGGGACCGACGCACCTCGGATGGGAGTCGGTAAGGGCAGCTCGCCTTCACCCTCCAGCGGCAGCAGGAGCTCTTCACCAGGTCAGCTGCCCAGGGAGGCGGACAGATCCGCGCGGCAGGTTTCGCAAGGGTAACCTGCTGGGGAAGCAACCAAGCGGCGGCTGCAGTCCGGACCGGTTTGGATGTGACACCGCCCACTGTCCCGCCCCTTCCTGCAGCCGCTCGGAGCCACTTCCGGTAGCGGAGCCTTAACTGTGCGCTGCGCGAGCGGCTCCGGGCCCGTTCCTAACCTCGCAGCCTCCAGTTTGCTGGCGGCGTCTCCTTTCGGTCTCCAGTGAGCAACGAGCCGAGCCTGGGGCCGAGGCTCCGGCTGCCTGTGAGGCTGCAAGATGTGCTGCGAGAAGTGGAGCCGCGTGGCCGAAATGTTTCTGTTCCTTGAAGACCGGGAGGAGGAGTTTAAGATCCTTTGCTTCTGCTCCAGGGCGTTTGTGGAGTAAGTGGAAGCGCGCGTGTCTTCTTCCTAAGCCGCGAGTTCCCGAAACCCGGTGCGGCTGATCCGGAAGCCTGCCGGGCGGCCTGATCCTTGGGCCAAGTGATGCTTAAGGAAAACAAAAGCCCGTACTGCCATTCGTGTCCAGCGGAAAATCAAATGTACATTGTAGATTTTTAGAGACGTATACTGGGGCCTGCCGTGTGTGTCAGTTCGTGTTTACTGAGGAGCGTGTAAGACTCGGGGGAAAGCGAGGTGTAAAGTGAAAGGTCTCATGGCAATGATGTCGTGAGCTGGTTTGGATTCGCATCTCTTAAATCCTGAACCTGCGTTCGCGCAGGTAATTAGAATTTCCAACATTTTAGCTAAAAGACTTTCCTATGTTAGTATCCGTTTTGACGTATCTTTATTTTGGGGAAATATTTGTTTCAGGTAGGGAATACAGCCAACTAGAAAATTAGATTGCTGTTTTCTTTATAGTCAGTGTGTGAGTTAAACCACTTGAATTTGTTTTTCGTGTCTAAAACAGGTATACTTTGATTTCACGTGTTGCTTGTTAAAGTCTTTGTAGAAATGAATTTTATGTGACTTAATATAATCTAATGTGGTAGAATGTAAGCTTGAAGGAGTTCTTTTTCATCCTGTGTTTTTGCAGAGTAATCTGAAAATGAACCGTAAAAGAAATTAAGCACCATGTTTAATTTCATATGCAAGTATTGTCAGATATGCATGGAATTGTACATTCAGCCAATGCTTTTAGTGCCTCTGTGTATAAAGTACGCTGGTGGGCACTGGCAGACCACACAGAACCTTTCTCTACACGCACTGAGTTTGGTTTCTAGCAAAGGAAAGATCAGGGTTAAATTAAGACGGCTCATTATGTAATTACTTGGTTAATTAGAATTTCAAGTAGTGTGAAAGAAGTGCAAAATGTTGTGATGTAGGATAATCTGACCTTTCTCCAAGGGTCGCAGAGGTTTCCTTGAGTAAGTAGCATTTGGAAAGAGATCTAAAAGAAATAAACTGAGGTGCATTTGACTGAGACTGAACTCTGTGCAGGCAGCAAGACAAAGTCTGTGAAACTGAGCAAAATGACTAGGAAAGAAAGGATTGATGAGGTAGTCAGAGTCAAAACATGCCAGGGGCCAGCGCCACGGCTCACTTGGTTAATCCTTTGCCTGTGGCGCCGGCATCCCATATGGGCGCTGGGTTCTAGTCCCGGTGCTCCTCTTCCAGTCCAGCTCTCTGCTGTGGCCCGGGAGTGCAGTGAAGGATGACCCAGGTGCTTGGGCCCTGCACCCGCATCGGAGACCAGGAAGAGGCATCTGGCTCCTGCCTTCGGATTGGCATAGCGCTCCGGCCGTAGCGGCCTTTTGGGGAGTGAACCAACGGAAGGAAGAGCTTTCTCTCTGTCTCTCTCACTAATTCTGCCTGTCAAATAGGAAAAAAAAAATGCCAGACTTTGGAAAACTCAGATGGCCCTCAAGTTCCCATGGTTTAATGTAATTTTCCCACTTTATTATGATGCGAAAGCTATACTCATTCAGTAGAGACTGTATATTGAATTTAGTATTGTGACCCTTTCCTAGCTCCTGATATGCTGTATGACACTCTCACAATGCTGACAAGACCTGACCCCATCAGTGCTTGTGTCACCCCCTCCTCAGTGTAGGAGCATCTGTATGGGAAAATCTGAAGCCTAGGAATGACATGATCAGATTTGCATTATGAAAAGATTACTCTGGCAACAGTGTGGAGGATGGTTTGGGGGAGGAGAACCACTTAAGGTCATCATCCAGGCAAAAGATCAGCGCCAATAGAAAGGGGAAAAGATAGGGGAGAACCTGGGGGGTTGGGGATTGGATGTGGAGAAGTGAAGGCGATAAGGAATGGGAAGGAGACCAGGTCAGGCTAACTCCCTAGTATCTGGCTTGTGTTCCTGCCTTTCACTGAGATAGCAATCGCTGAAGAAGAATGGCTTTTTCAGGGGGCAGTACTGAGAAGGTCATGAGTTACATTTTGGTTTTGAGGCACCTATGAGATATCCAAAGGTATATATTAGTAGTTGGGTTATTGGTTTGGAGCCCTGGAGAAGTCTGGGCTAGTCTTAAAAATCTGAACCATTTACCTTTATATAGTGATTAAAGCCATTGATGGGGAGGGAGCAAAGTGGGATCCATCCTTGTGGAATTCCAACACTTTTTCTTTTTTTTTTTTTTTTTTTTTTTTTAAGATTTATTTTATTTATTTGAAAGAGTTACAGAGAGAGGTCTTCCATCTGCTGGTTCACTGCCCAGGTGGCTGCAACGGCCAGAGCTGAGCTGATCTGAAGCCAGGAGGCAGAAGCCTCTTCTGAGTCTCCCACATTGTGAAAGGACCCAAGGACTTGGGCCATCTTTCACTGCTTTCCCAGGTGCATCAGCAGGGAGCTGGATTGGAAATGGAGCAGCCAAGATTCAAACTGGCACCCATATGGGATGCCAACACTGCAGGCCAGGGCTTTAACCCTTTGTGCTACAGCACCGGTCCCCCCAACACTTTTTCAAGATGAGAAGAGAAGAGAAGAGCTGAAGTGACTGGAAAACAGGTAGCAGGCAAACCCAAGCATACTGTCACAGTTGTTTCATTGGAGTAGTCAACATTGGAAAGCTAGTGAAATGTCAAGCAAAATGGGGCCTAAAAGGGATCCACCAGAACTGGCAGGATCCACTGGACTGATTGATGCTTTATTAAATGCCACCACCAATTGTTCTACCTTTACTACTGAAAGAGACTCATTGACCAAACTTCATACAGCTCTTTTGAACACTTTTTTGATCAAGCCTCGTCTTCAGCCTTCGAGCCCAGTTTTACCAAGAATTCTGCTATGTCAGTTTAGTGTAACTTTCCGCACCCTTGGTATCTGATCACTCTGGCCTCCCTTCAGCAAGAATCCTACATCATTCTCCCTTTAGCAAGAATCCCTCTAGCCATGACGCTACCCCATGACGTCTCCTCTTAGTGTTCATCCACAGACACCTCCACCTCCTCAGCTCATGGGCTGTAACTCCCCAGCTGGCTTTTCTGTATTAGGAGTGGGGCTAGATCCCTGCTCTAAGGCTGTAGGCTTGCTGCCTGTCTTGAGGGTCCTGATTAAAGTTCCCCTTGCTGTTTTAGCACATCAGAATAATTTTTTAAAATTTTGTTTCATTTAAGCCTTCCAGTAGCTCTCCTAGGTGTGTCTTGTCTTTACTTACTCAAGGAGAAATTGCATCTCAGTAACTACCTAAAAAAATCACATGGCTAGCAAGTGTCAGCCCTGAAATTCTGCCCTGGGTCAGTAGTGACTGCAGAATCTATCCCACCAGATAGTGTAGAACATAGGATTTCATCAATTCCTGCCAATTAAGGCATTTAAGGAATCAACAGTTACTAGGACAGTTGATGTCCTCAAGACACTTTAACATTAATACAATAGTACTTCAAGATGTTTATAGAAATGGTATTAAAAGATAAGTTGATTATGATAACAAAAAATGAAATTAATGTATAAGTAGGTCTTCAAGAAGTTTGTGGATAATGTGTATTATGAAGAAATTAGGTGTGAATTTTAAAGTTCTTCCACCGAAATGAGCTTACCTTTTAATTTCACTTTCCTGCGAACTTTTTAAAATACCCTCATGTATATATAGATTAGTTACAATAGAAGATTTTTTGGGAGACTGAAGAGCCTATACTTACCATGGATTGTTCTCAGGTGACAGTTTCTCTAATACTGCATATGCTGATACAGTACAGCAAAAATGTTTAATGTATTTCCCTCTCCCAACAAGTTCCCAAGCTAGAATAACTATTTGATTTCATATTCTCCACCAAAAATCAGCTGGGTGGCCTTGGGCAAACCACATAAAGTTTCAGCTCTTCTGAAAGGAACTTGCTTTCTCTTTTTCTACTGAAACTGATCCTCAGTTCCTTTGCCATAGAGGAATTGCTCCTTACACTTGACAGATTCCCAAACAATGTATTCAGCATGTATTTTGGCCACCAAGTTGTCTGTGAGATAAAAAAAAGATGACTTAGGCCTGATGATGATGACTGCCATATTCAAAGGTATGAGTTTGAGGGGAACCATGTTTCCTGGGTAATGAGGCAGAAGAGTAACATCAAAATTTATCTCTTAGAGGAAAACAGGTGACTTCAACCAAAGAAATAGGTGGCTTTGACACTCAAGAATCTAGCCTGAACCATCCATGGTAACTATGGCTGGGACAGTTGAGCATATGCAAAGTACAATAATTAATCAAGAATGAACCTTTTGCTAACTTTAATGCTAAGGTCTTTGCTCCAAGAGGAGCTTAGGCTTTATTGCCATGAAATGAGATGTATGTGTGAGCTTCTTTCTAAACTATACCTGCATAAGCTTGTGCCCACTCGTGCATGTTTAAGTACTTCCCCTCATGCACATTCATTTCCCCTAAGACAAAGAAAACTTTACTTCCCTTGTGTAATGCTGCCACAAAACACACCAAACACTGGAGTAAGGGAAAGGGTTTATTGCAAACCTGACAGACTGGAGGGAAGGGGCGAAGAAGGAAAAGAGGGAGAAGGAGAGCATAAGAGAGACAGAGGGAGAGAGATCAGGAGACGGCAAGAAGGAGTCACATGTTGAATAGGTCCTTTTAAAACTTTGCCG